CTGAAGGTTGGTGCTCTACCACTTGAGCCACAGCTCCACTTCTGGCTTTTTGCTAGTGAATTGGAGATAAAGGATCTCACAGCCTTTCCTGCCCAGGCTCTCTTTGGACCTTGATCCTCAGATCTCAGCCCCCTCATTAGCTAGGATTGCAGGTGGGAGCCACCGGTGCCTGGCTTCTATTCCTACAATGTAGGAAGCCAGACCCAGGGTGGATTCCTGGAGTCCTAGCGATGGCGAGCTTACGACGAGACCTGCGTCCCTGGCCCACCTTGTGCAGATGGAGCAAGACTTTGTCTCAGAATGATTTAAAAGAAGTCAGAAAATAATTTCCGAGCGGTTGAAGGCGTGGCACAGGCGCCAGCCCATGAGCAGCAGTGTCAGGCGCCGAGTTCGAGTCCTGGGATTCTGGGACAAGTACAGACAGACATACAGAATATATTCTGAGCTGCTCCCCAGCTCCCCACGCTGGGAAAGCGAGCTCCACAGGCTGCGCGTCCGCCTCCTGCCGCCACGGGGCGCGCGCGAGCAGCGCGGCAGGGCCGCTCTAGGCCGCGGCGGCGGCGTCGCCGGAAGTCTCGTTCTCCGTCCACTTCCGCTCTCTTGGCCCTGGCTGGGGCTGCGTGGAGAGGCCTGCACGATGCCGACCGGCGACTTTGAGTGCGTGCGGGGGGCCGCGGGGGGGGCCCGCAGGGGCGATCTGCGGGTCTGGGGGTGCGTGGCAGGCCGGGGTTCCCCGGGGCCGGGCCTCGCCCACCCCAGCCCTTCCTCTGCCCCTCTCTCCGCAGTTCGAAGCCCAGCTGGGCCGACCAGGTGGAGGAGGAGGGAGAGGACGGTGAGTCGGGCCGGCGCCCTGCCGCTTCCGGCTGCCCGCTCGTGCCCGGTGATCTGGGGGTCCCCTCCCCTGCGCCCCGCGCCATCCTGGCGCCAACCTGTTGCATTGTCAGCGTCCGGGTCCCTCCCCACCCCGCGTCCCACAGGCCCCTGGAGGAAGGAACTCCTGACACCCCAAGATGGCTTCGTGGCTTGACCCCCCCCCCTTCATGCATGGGGTCCCCCCAGCCTTGCCCAGTGCTCCAGGTCGCCCCGATCGCTCTCTGTCCCCCTTTCCCCCAGCTCCTGGTGGGGGTGTCAACGCCCCCCCCTACCCCGGGCCCCTCCATTCCCTCCAGCTGACCCCCCCTTCCTCTCCATGGCTGCCCCCGGCAGATAAATGTGTCACCAGCGAGCTGCTCAAAGGGATTCCTCTGGCCACTGGCGACACCAGCCCCGAGCCGGAGCTGGTACCTGGAGGTGAGTGGCTGCCTCTTCACCCCATCCCCTGGCCTCCGGGGAGCCCTCTCCTCCGGGACTCAGTTTCCCTGCTCTTTTTCAGCACCATTGCCACCTCCGAAGGAGGTCATCAATGGAGACATAAAGACGGTGACGGAGTACAAGATAGACGAGGATGGCAAGAAGTTCAAGGTGAGGCGGGGGCGGCGCTGTGGGGACTCAGGGGTGGACCAGGAAGGGCTGCTGGTCCCAGGAAGCCTGGCCTGTCTTCCTCCCATCCGCAGATCGTCCGCACCTTTAGAATCGAGACCCGGAAGGCGTCCAAAGCCGTTGCAAGAAGGAAGGTGAGACCCTCTTTTGCCTGCTTGTGGGGCTCATCCAGGACTGGGACACAAGAATTGGGAAAGTTTGAGACAGAAGTTCAGCTCACTGTTACAGATGTATTTGTTCATCTTATTTGTTTTCAGTCAACTCATGGGGCTTGAACTCAGGGCCTGAGTGCTGTCCCTGAGCTCTTTTCACTCAAGGCTAGCGCTCTACCACTTTGAGCCACAGCACCACTTCTGGCATTTTGTGGTTCATTGGAAATGGGAGTCTCACAGACTTTCCTGTCCAGGCTGGCTTTGAACCATGATCCTCAGATCTCAGTCTTCTGAGTAGGATTACGGGCGTGAGCCACCAAAGCCCGGCCTGGTTGTTTTTATGTTCTTGCGACAAGAATTTATTATGTAGCCCCCACGGCCTGTGCCTCCCGAGTGCCAGGATTACAGGCATGCCTCTGAGGGCTGGGCTGTAGTCAAGGCTGGTTCAGATTTTATTCCTTTTCCCTTGGGACAGAGGAAGCAACTTGTATTCACCACACAGGGCTTCTGGAAGAGTCTCCGTGGCACACACCAGGCATTTGCTGGAGCTGTGACTGGTGACCTCCATAGTGGCCTGGGGTTGGGGTGGGGGGTGAGGGGGACGGATGTGGCCCCTGTTTTCGAGGAGGTAGTGAGGCTGGAATTCCTCATCTGACTCACCTAGACCCATGCCCTGAGCACTGCCACCTGCACAGTGCCAGAGTTGTTGGCAGGCCTGCCGTTGTGACCTCTGCCCTATCCCGAGTCTCCTTTTTCTAACTTGAAACTTTGTTTTGTTCGTTTTTGTGTTGGTCCTGAAGCTCAAAGCGAGCTTTTGTGTTCAAGGCTAGCACTCTACTACTTGAGCCGCAGCTCCAATTCTGGCACTTCGGGTGGCTCACTGGCAGACTTTCCTGCCCAAGCTGGCTTCCAACCAAGATCCTCAGATTTCACCTTCCTGAGTAGTTAGGATGGCAGGCGTGAGCCACCAGCACCCAGCTTCTGACCTGTAACTCTTCCCCACCCCCTACACACCCTGTCCCTTGCCTGTCCCTGAACTCAGAACTGGAAGAAGTTTGGAAACTCAGAGTTTGACCCTCCAGGGCCCAATGTGGCCACCACCACAGTCAGCGATGACGTCTCCATGACGTTCATCACCAGCAAAGAGGTAAGGGGGGAGGTGGTGGCTTGGGGGTGGGGTTGGGGGGGTGGAGGCGGGGTGGCAGGGTCCCTGAGCCCTCACCCCACATTCCTGCTCCCCACCAGGACCTGAACTGCCAGGAGGAGGAGGACCCGATGAACAAGCTCAAGGGCCAGAAGATCGTGTCCTGCCGCATCTGCAAGGGTGACCACTGGACCACCCGCTGCCCCTACAAGGACACGCTGGGGCCCATGCAGAAGGAGCTGGCCGAGCAGCTGGGCCTGTCCACCGGCGAGAAGGAGAAGCTGCCTGGAGGTGCGGGGCTGTCTGGGGCAGGGTGCCTGTGGCTCCTGTCCCCCCTCTCCCCCCACCCCCTCCCAGGCTGCTGGCCAGCGCCTGGCTCCTGTCTGGTCCCTTCCTGTTGGCTGCGCATGCGCGCTGAGACACAGCAGGACACCGGCCTGGGCCACGGCCTGAGTGCTGCTGGGGACAGTTCTGCCTCTGTTTTGCCATCATTCCTCTGGTGGCTAACCATTGGGAGTTGAGGGTGCAGCAGCGTGTGGCCTGTCTGCGCATGCGCGCGTGCAGCCGCAGTGGCGGTCTCCGTCCTTAGAGCTGTCTGCTAGCTGCGTTATGTCACCTGCCAGGCTTGGGGACCCGGGCTTCCTGGGGTCGCGCGGCAGGTGTTGCCGGGGTCGTGGCTCTGTGGGATGGGGGGGGCGTCTGTCCCGTGGCTCTTGCTCCGCCAGCGAGGGCTTGAGCGCCTCTTCTGTCCTTGGGGTCACCGAGGTTTGTGGGGCGCCCTGGCCCGGGGGGGGGGGCTGAGCGGGCCCTGTGGGGCGTCTGGTTGGCAGAGCTGGAGCCGGTGCAGGCCGCGCAGAACAAGACCGGGAAGTACGTGCCGCCCAGCCTGCGTGACGGGGCCAGCCGCCGCGGGGAGTCCATGCAGCCCAACCGCGGAGGGGAGGTCCGGGGCCGGCGGGCGGGGGGGGGGGCCCCTGCCCCCCCAACATCGCCTTACCACTACCTGCCCCCGCAGCGGACGACAACGCCACCATCCGCGTCACCAACCTGTCGGAGGACACGCGGGAGACGGACCTGCAGGAGCTCTTCCGGCCCTTCGGCTCCATCTCCCGCATCTACCTGGCCAAGGACAAGACCACCGGCCAGTCCAAGGT